TGCACCACGTGACTAAATGCATAAGATCAAGTGTTCGACTCCGGGCCCCGCCATAATATTCGTAGTGCTAGGATATTAGCGCACGATATGACAAGGCATCTATGCAGCCCTCTCAGCGGAAATACGAGGCATGCAACCAAGGGGTTTTCACTTGATAACATAGAAGGAGCTCTGCTCTACAAGATAAGACTTAGTTGGTTCAGATTGGTTGGTTAGTTATAGAGCTACGACCTCTGCAAGTCTATATGCAATTACAAGAAATAAGATGCATGTCCCTTCAGCTCGCGTAAGCTAGAGTCATCTGGAAGACCTAGTTACGATTGGTTAATAACTACTCACTGGTCGAGTTAGTTATCTTCGTCATGCACTCTAAGCTATGCACATAGAAGAGTCATTGATAAGTCCTTTGACGGAGCTGATCACTCCACTCAGGAAGAGAGCGGGGAAGTTGGTTTTCAGGATCAAACGGAGTTCGCACTCCAAAGACACTAAAACGTTAGTATGGCAGGTACATAGTCAGTAAGGGATTGGATGTAGGCCGCGACCACTCAGACGCGGAATATAAATATCGAGGTGCCTCCCTAGCTTTAAGTCTATCATCAGCGACCGGAGAAGAGATCTTATCAATATATTCGTTCTACTTTACTTCTATCTTTACGAGCCTTCTTGAGTATCTCCAAGACAGAAGATTATAGGGCCTAGTGTATACTCGCTTGACTTTAGAGTTACCTACCCCCTAACAGCACTCTAGAAGAATTTTCCTATATACACATCAGTTCCTGTAAGGTGTTTACCAATACACGTGGCAGAGTAAAAACTTCTGCGCATCGGTGTCTGGCCAGTGGCTAACTGTCGAGATGCCTAGGAAAGCTAACTAAATGACTCTCTTCCCATCTGCCATGACCTACGCAAGCTCCCATAGACTTCAGCTGTCTTCCGGTTAAGTTCTATCTTTCTTGATTGCGAACTTAGAAGGTCTACGATGGTCCCATGGGGAGCTGTGGCGGCAGCGGGACCCATAGGTGCTACCCATAGTCCCTTACTCCCGGCACACCACTTACCATGATAAGTATCATGCTATTTGAGTCCTCAAACAACTCATAAAGAGCCTACGGCAAAGAAGTACGTGTGGGCTGGATTGACGTAAAACGTTCCCAGATGTCTCCGGCACTACCTGGGACTACTCTGGGGACCCTTCCAGATAGCTCACGCTCACTCCGTCAGTTTTGGTCCGTTTTAATCCGTTCTTTTTAGAGAAGGTACCTGACCTTCTCACCTTGGCCCTCTTATATATCCTTTGAACAGCCTCCGGTCGGACAGACAGCAGCAACGTATACAGTGTTATGGACATGTTATCATGAACTCCATTTAACTAGCATGACGGCAACTCTACCCATTTTGGCCCATGACGCCCGGGGCGAACCCTGTGGCCGCAGGTACCTGTTAGGAATAATTCTGCCAAGTTACAGCTTGTTCGGAGCACCATAGCTGCTCCCGTAGCCTTCCGATCAATGTGCAAGCAAGTGCCCGTGGATCCTCATTGTGTAACAAACAATTCTAACATTCCTCGGAATTCCTTCAAGAACATTTCCGACTGAAGGTAGGGTAATAGTGTCCCAAAGGTAGGGTAAGTATATTTAAGGTGACGTGAAACCAGTCTCCAGGGTAAGGTAACGTGACTCTCCTAGACAGAGTAAACTTATCCGGCCTTCCGACCTAACCTTAGGCCGCAGTGGACATACTTACTTTACTTCCGCTACTTAGGTACACCTATTCCTTAAGTACCTTCTGTGCCTTAGGATATCCTAACTATTGGATATCCCTCAGACATGCACCCGCATACCCGCCTAGTCTACCATACAACCTCTTGGTGTTACGTATAGACATAGACTTAGGTTGCCATAGCTCTATAACATAGGGTCATTACAGATTAGTACAGCTCACACAGATGATAGCGAACTCCACGGTATAGTGTCAAGCATCCCTCTCTCAATTCATATCCAGCATCACCAAGGTAGTACTTCCCATGAGGTATGACGAACCCCTTTTCCAATACATTACTCAATACTCTTGCATTATGAGCTAACCCCTCCCATCCTGCAAATACATAGCAGAATTGAAGATCAAAGCTACAAGCTGCCATCACATTTTGCATAATCTGCCCCTTACGGTTCTAAAATGGTCCAACATTCTCAAAAGGTACATGTACTAGAATATGGATTCCATTAATCGCTCCTAGTACATCCTTAAAGTAAGGGTAAAATTTCTTACTTCTCTCTACTTCATATGGGCACTCATTTGGTGGAAGAGTTATAAGACTTGTATGAAGCTTTATAAATGCATTCAAAACAAGATTAAAGTATCTATTTTTTTATGCTGGATTAGTTTTTATATATAACAATTGCATAGATGAGGACGATTTGAACTTGTTGACTTAGTGTATAACTACTATATTGAAACCTCTCTTGTACTTATCAATTCGAAACATTATGACTGACAGTTCAAATGAACATAGCGACCTGTTCGTCTACATTCACATATCTTACTGAGGTAAGAAGACCTCTCTAGGTAAACCATTGACACAGTTCAAGAAATACCTTCCGAGACATTCTCAATACCTTGACTACTTGTCGAGGATTAGTTGAAGGTCCCACAAGTTCCTTAATGTAAGCTTTTCTCATAAGTGCTGAAGTGCGACAAGGCTCGACTGCATATCGTGTACTTGTAACATCTGTTACTGCGATTGCAACATTCAACAAAAGGTGACTGTTGAGTCTGAATAGAACATCCCTTGAGTTGCTAGTAGTAATATTCGAATTGGCATCGATGATATTGGAGAAAGGTGTATTGTTGAATTGGAGTGTATATATTAAAATAATTGAAAATGAGGAATCTCTTGTAATTCTAGGTCCAAGAATGTGGATCTAAAGATATAAGAAGATATTTATTGTGGAGGATAGGATTACAATTGATAATGTCTTATAATATTACTTGATATAGGCCTGAATTTATTTGTTTATTTTATTTGTAAGAAAAATACTATAGTAAAAAAATACTATGGTATTTGTTTTTGCCAAACACTAGGCCAAACTAAAATAAAAATACCATGAAAAATACTCTGTAAAAGTGGAAATACTATCCTATTTTTGGTGTGTCAAACCAGGCCTAAATTTATTTTAAATCCTGAATGGAAATTAAAAAGACTTCCAAGTTAACAATTTATATACTAGCAATAGAAACTATTAATTAATAAATATATTTTACTAACATACTAGATTAACTATTTAGAATTACTGTGAAGAAAGAAATGATTGGTTAGCGGAATAGCAATAGGCAGACTAAATGGTTACAGATGAGACATCGATTGAGGTTGATACAGTTTTTGAACTAAATCATGTATGGTGAGACAAGACTTAGCAATGGCATTAGGATTACATGGGAGTACAAAAGAAGGAGGAAGTAATAGTAATGTGTTAGGGAATAATATCTTAGAATTGAAAAGATCCTTTCCACATGTGGTTAATGGAATCAAGGAAGGAAAAAGAAAGGGCTATTGTGGAGATAGCACAACTGAATAGGGATTCAGCATCGGAGGAAGCAAGGTTGAATAACTTATCGAAGAAGTCAGAGGAGTAGGGAGTACTATGGGAGCAGAAACTACAGAAGGTACACAAGGTACAAATTACCTCAAAAACAACATAAAGAAATGTAAAAACCACTCAGAATTGGCATGGTAAGAACATTAAAATATGAAAATTCAATATGGAGATGCCAGAGGACTTGACTCTTAGAGTTATGTTCATCTCCTGTACCAGCCAGTCTTATAGCCAATATATAAGAAATGATTTAGTTTAAATCCTAGATTTTTACTAATAGAGGATAATGCTCTATCTCATGATTCCAATTTTATAAATCATAAGTATGAGAACTTGAACTTGAAGGTTGAAATACCAAAAGTGGAATGGCCACCAAATTTACCAGATTATAATCCTATAGAGCAAATTTGGTGGCCTATAAAATGTCATATCATAAGGTAACAAGGATCAGAGAAAACCTGTACCCCTACCACAACGTGGATACTTTTACAAGAGGAGTGGGACAAGATAACCTTTGATGAAATTAATAGAGAGATTGGAAAGCTGCCAAAAATCATGCAGTAATATACGGAACAAAATGGAGGAAACAGATATCGGGCTTAATTCTCTTTATCTCTGCTATACTGTCTATACTTTCTGTCCTGCTCCTTTATCCGTTCCTAACCTGCTTCTTTATCCCTCTTCAAATCAATCCTCCTATTCTACTCTAACCCCATTCCTCCATCCCCTAAGATTTATACTGCCTATACTGTTTATAATATCTAAAAGTTTAACTTCATGTACGATCACTTAGATCTTGAAAGTGTTCTTGGCGCCAAGGCACTAATAGCGTCCGAATACTTTTTAAATGGCCAAGTACTCGAGTACGGTAATTTAGTATCTGCCTCCTCTAGCCAGTAACACGTAGTCATTCTACTACTCGTGTAGTACTAGCCGATTTCAAAAGTATCCGGACACCCTGGCGCCAAGACAGGGCCACTGGGTGCCAAGACATCTGGATACTTTAAAAATCAGCTATTATTAAGTGCCAAGGGAGTTGTTTTCATACAAGACAGGGATTATTTTGCAGGTTAACCTAAATTAACTGTGCAAAAACTGTATCCCTGGCACTTGTACTAGCTGATTTTTAAAGTCCGGACACCTTGGCACCCAGCGGCCCTGTCTTGGCGCTGGTGTGTCCGGATACTTTTGAAATCGGCTTGTAGACCTCGTGATTAAACAACGGTGTGCCGCCCCGCTCCCCCACCCGCCTCTCCTTTCACAAACGAACGGGTTAACCTTTTTCCCCAGCTCACTTACCCTCCCTCCTGGACTTGGAGCCACATCCATCCTGACCAAGCCCACCTCGGCCCCCTCCCAGTTCCACTGGGCGAGGATATCCACTCCCACCGAGCGACCCTGAAAATGTTAAAAACGAAACCCCTTAACGACCTCCTCTCGCAGAGTATCTCTGCAAATGTCTCATCTGCCCTGTACCAAAGCCCCCTTATCAACCTCCTCCTCCTGCCGCGCATTTTCTAACACTGATACGACCAGACTATTTACACCATCTGGCTCTCTCCTCGCAACCGGAACCTCGCCGACTGCGCCCTCGGCAAAGAAATCCAGAACACACGCTGCGCTAGCTGCGAACATTTGGAGTCTTTACTCGCGAGTTGCCTCCTCTGGCGCAGTCGAAGCTTCGCTCCCGGCCATTCCGTCCACCAATGTTGCCGCTCCGTCATCTCCACTTGAAACCTCTACTGATGGCCCCACTGAAGCACTCAAATCACTTACTCTTGAGCTCTCAGATTACAATCTTCACATACAAATCGTTGCAGAAAGAGTCCTGCTTTGTCTTATTGGGCCGAAGGCTGCTAGCGGCAGCAGTAGGAGTAGTCTCCATAGTGAAGGAGAGAGCAAGTCGGCAAAGAGCGGGGGTGGAGGAGGCAGTGGGAGCGGTAGTGGTGTCGTGGCGGGTAGTGGGTTGGGAATACTGAAGACTCAAGCTGTCGCATTAGCGAACTACCTCGATGGGGAGCTTCGCGGATTTGAGTTGCCGGACGGGATATAGTATGCTATTTCTGCGGCTGAGGGGCAGCCGAGTGTGGTTTACCTTCACATTGTCTTCTTTTATCGTCTTTAATTCTTGCTCTAAGTTATCCTCTACCCTAATGCCGAATTCACCTAGCCGACATAGACACCGGGAAATGGTTAGAAACTTGGGTGGCGCTGCATTTGGTTTTTGTTCTTGCTTTTCCTACCTCGTTTCAACACTATCTTTTATAGTGTCATGCGTTTTAGGGACTCTCACCTTTCCTTCGTATCTCTGGATTTCCGCTTAATTCCCCTGGTGAGGTTTACCCATCACGACTCCTAATTTGCTACCATCTCTGATTCTAGCGCCTGCGGCACGCATATCAATGCTTGTGTAACCTCCGAGAATTATTCCTAACTTAATTCATGCACTCGGGAGATCAGGCGGGCTCAAAATCAAGACGAACTCGATACAAACATAAGTAGAACCAGAGATCGCGCTCGTGTTGGGATCTGTCTGGTAGATGGTCATAGTAGTCTCTCTAGAGTGGCTAGCACCTTGAGGGCTATTACTATTCACCCTCCGAACCTGCAGGAGCTGTTTGTCGCTCAGCTTGAGCGGAACGTGATTGTCGGGAGGGATCAAATCCCCCCTCTCTAGTACTCCAAGCTGTCCTCGAATAATTTAATCAACTCGCCTCTCTGCCGATCCAGATCCTCGTCTAGATTGGGCGCCAACATCAGCACCCTATGCTGCGGTATAGTTCCTTCGACCAATTGTTGAATATCGGCACGGGTGTAACCGAGCTCTTTAATACCCATTGGTTGATCTCCCAGCTTATACAAGAATTCCTTAAGGGCGTTACTCAAAACCTTACCGGCATCCTCAACACGGATGTTAGATACATCAACTCCGAAGACTTCCGCCGCAGCCAGATGCCGTTCTGGGTTCGAGGGAGCCGTGAATTGGAACACTGCCGGCGCAGTTACGGCCACACTTACCTGGACCTGTAGTCAATAAAGCTAGGTTCATGGGGGAAACGGTGAGCATACTCCGTGCGGAATAAGCGGGTGATCAACCTGGTACCCGAGATGCTTATAACCCTTATTCCCACCGGATATTGGATAACTCATCCCATGGCACAGGTGGACACCCGCATTCCCGAATCCGAGACCCGCCAACGCGGCAGCAAGCAGCATCTGGCTCTGGGCCTCCCGATCATCTGGATCTCGAGCTGCCCTAGGCAAGTACTTTACTGTCATTTGCAATGCTGCAAAGGAGAAAACATCGCTAATGGGGTTCGCGCCCTGGTATGCCGGGCGCAGAACCGGGTTTGTTGGACGGGGTACACGCTCATTGTATGGGATGGCTGTATAGGATTCAAGAGCGTGGCAGAGCACATCCAAGCCAGAAGAGACCTGGACCGCAGCAGGCATGGAGCATGTGTTGAGCGGGTCACAGATTCCGAGGGTAGGCTTGAGCATCCGGTGGGCGATACCGGTTTTAGCTTTTTTGTCGACAAGGTCGCTGGTTGATTAGAAAGGAGCGAAGCTGGACGCAAGGGAACTCACAAGATTGCAGTACCGGTGGTTTCGCTGCCAGTTCCGGCCGTGGTCGGGATGCAGATTAAAGGGCTCAGAGCTTTGGTGATTGGTAACCCTTTTCCGATTGGTGCGTTTACCTATCCGGGTCAGTGTTCAGGCGCAGAAAAGGAAGGGGGAAGGGTGTGACCGACAAAGTCAAGAAAATCCGCCTCGGGGAAATTGGTATACAAATTCACCATCTTTGCAGTGTCCATCACACTTCCACCGCCGACAGCCAAGTAGGCATCCCCTTTGGCGTTCTTGCCAAACTCGATTGCCTTCTTCACAGAGTAATCCTTCGGTTCCACCATTACGTCAGAGAAGATATCATACTTGACCCCGGCGCTTTCTAGCGCTGAAATCGTAGTCTTCATAGGGGCTAGTTGTTGGATCGTCTTGTCAGTAATAATGACGACCTTCTTCGCCTTGAGATTTGCGAAGTCCATTCCAACTTCCCGGGTGCTTCCTGCTCCAAATCGAATATTAGAGGCAGCAATTTCAAAGGCATATTCTCTCTGCGAGCCGCTAGGGGTGGCCAGTGACCGCACTCTATCAAGTAGTGATGCAGACCCAGCGAGATGATGCGGGTGAGTGACTGTTCCGTGACAAGGGCAAGCGGGCGGATGGGTGTATTGAATAGTATGAAGCAGCGAGAGTGCCCGGCTACGGGCGGTGGGAACGAGCCTTGCTGAGGCCATTGTTGGTGAGGCGTGAATTGAGGTGAAGGACGGGCAAGAGAGAAGGAGGTAAAAGAGGCCGGGCCCGAGGATGGGGTAATGCAGTGTGTATGGAAATTCCGCGGGGTGAAAGCGGGGATGGTCAGGCGGAGGGGAGGTGATGCAGGGTTAATTTAGGACGGGTTAGACTAACTTTCCGTCAGGAGTGGAACCAGACATGCCCAGCACAGGCCTTTGGGGGTAGCAAGGGTGGAGGTATGGTGGAGGTGATCTAAAAGTGGACGGGTGGGGTCCACCCCGCAATGTCTTATGTGAGTAGGGTTAGGGGTAAAAGACACTCGGATGGCCCGCATAAAGTTCATATGTGGCGACTGGTTATTAGATTAGGGCCTGTTCAGGGGGAACGGAAGGCTGGTTGACCACTCGGCTTCTTTACTGGAGTACAGTTTGGCCCAGAGGAACGGTTGTTGCCAATTTCATAATGATTGTACGTATGCCTGCTCATCATGTTATGACAATTGTGAAAATGACTGGGCCTGCATTAGGGTACATTAGCCTGTGTTTGAAGGACCTATCAATTAGGGTTAAACATATGGTAGATTAGTCAGGAAATAGGTAAAAAAATCAAAAAAAGAAACTTCAATACAATTAAATTTTAATTTAAAGGATGAGCAGTATATACTGTAACTTTAACTTACTATCAATTATCTCAATACTAACGTATCTGACCTAATAATGAGACACTCACTAGTTATGGGACACTTTAAAATCTACTTGTGAAATGGAAATGTACATAACAGGCAGTTGGAGTTCAAATGATCCAATACTCAAGCATAATATCCCTTGGGTGGTTTGAAACAGTAAAATTCGTAGCTAGGCACACAGTACCTATTACTAGTATGAACCACCTCGAGACCTCAA